AGCAGCATGCGACTAGGTGGGTTGTTGGCGATGGTGCTGCGTTGGGGCTCGCTGTGCGAACTGGTGCTTGAACCATCGCCGCCGGGAAGCCAGACACCCGCGGGGCTCAAATTGAGAGCCGAATCTCAAGGCGATGCGGGAGTCGCCATATAAGTTCCAGGCACAGCCGAGTGGTAGAGTCGCTCATGTCTAGTGAGTAAGTCACGTCTTGCAAACGACTGACCGCAGTGACAGCCATACGGCTTCTTTTTGGTGTCTACAGCAGGTTCCTACGTTAATTCGGGTGAAAGGCAATAGAGTAAATAGAGCGCTCACGTGTTCGCAAATGTCGCCGTAAGTGCTCGCCTCTCACAAAGGTACGATGACAAATGTGGCATATCTTCGAAACATAGGGTCGTCCAGCTTCTGGTGGCATGGTGATGTGGTTGAACTGTTCAGTTGACTGTTTAGGTTCGAGCGACTACTGCTATCAAAGCTTCACTAGACAGAAATGCTTCCCGGAGAAAACTCTTCACGGATTTCTCAGGGTGTCTGAGAGAATGATGAATTACCATTACTAATCAACGCTAGAATGATTCAAGCAACTGAACCTGGAAATAATTGCATGTACTTCCTCATCTTTCGAGCTCCCACTGCCCAGCCCGGGCTCTGGGTGCCCGCGCTGCGTGCATACAAAGTCTAGCGTCCAAGTCAACACCTCACCTTCATTCAGTCACGAGGATGTAAAACTTTCTAGGGATGGTCTCATACCTTAGTTTTTGAAAGGCTACTCTTGGTCTTATACTAAGCATCAGGACATGGAAACATACTGCCGTGGAACGTGAGGGTTTGACCTCCTGAACATGCCTCCGAATACGCGTGTTAGTGGATGTGCCCCGTGGTCCCCAACCTGTTTCGGGGCTGTTGGAGACCTCCACAGTGGAGTTGGAGTTCCCCAACTCTTGCATGACCCGACGCCAGTTGAATCTGGGGCCGATCCTCTCACCTAGGCTAGGGTTCATTTCAGCTCACAGGCGATACATTGGAATCGGGGTTTGAACCAAACCCGACCCGCAACTTCAGTAGGTTTTGATGTGTAGTCACTCACAGTTTCCTCACTCGTGCTTATAATTCTTATCGGGGTTTCTTTTCAGGGTAGCGATCGCCGGGATGGTTGGTAATCTCCAAGCAAACTCAGTGTGTTACTGCATCAGAATGGCTCAGTCGAGTGGGAACACGTCGACTTCTGAAGCTCTTATCGCCAACGGGGGCGTGGCGATGGAGCTTTGGGTCACAAATCGACATTTTCAAGGAGATCAGAGATGTACTTCTCTATAAGTTTTGAGAGTATAAAATGCCAGGCCTTGTGGAATGTTGAAATCAACTCAAAGAGCCTCAAACTCATAGCTATTTCACACACCGTAGCAATCCTGGAACTTCTTTCTGCTGAAAATGTCCGTCAAACCCATTCGCGTCGCCGCCGTTCAGGCCGAAGGCTGCTACTTTGATTTGGAAGGTGCAGTCGAGAAGACATGCAAGCTCATAGAGGAAGCTGCTGGTAAAGGCTGCGATTTGATTGCCTTTCCCGAAGTCTGGATTCCGAACTATCCAGGTTGGATCTGGTGAGCCATTTCAACACAATATCATTCCAGTGTCTATGCAGTGCTTAACGGGTGCAACAGGCAGAGACCCATCGACTTTGACATGGTCAAGGAGTACATGAAGTCCTCCCTCAAACGGGACGGTCCGGAGATGGCTAGAATCTGTGCTTGCGCAGGCAAGAACAAAATTGCCGTTATGCTGGGATACTCGGAGAATGCAAATCATTCCTTGTACCTATCTCAATCTTTGATCGGCAAAGATGGAGAGATCAAAATGAACCGCCGCAAGATCAAGTCTACCCACGTCGAGCGAACCTTGTACGGTGACGGCAGCGGTGCTTCTCTTCACAATTTTGTCGAAGAGCCTGGCATCGGCAAGGTCGGTGCCTTGTCTTGCTGGGAACACTCTCAGCCCTTACTGCGCTACCACACATACTCTCAGGGCGAAGAAATTCATGTGGCTGCTTGGCCACCCATGAACTACTTCAACTCCTTCCCCGAGGGCTCGGCTCTTTGGTCTCAATGCCGCGAAGGCATGTACCTCAAGAACCTTTATCCAAACCTGAATGAGGCATTTAACAATTCGTCTCAGGGGCTCGCAACCTCTCCACTACACACGCCATCGAAGGTAACTGCTTCATCATTTTGTCGTCTTCCTTTTACACCCAGACTGGCGTGGATCGCCAGAAGCTCGGCGATGGAAAGCTCTACCACATCGGCGGTGGCGGCTGCGCTTGCATCATCGCACCCGATGGTCGGAAGCTCACGGAAGATCTTGGGGAGGAAGAAGAGGGTCTTGTGATTGCCGACATTGATCTGGATGAAATCATGAAAGTCAAGGCTATGCTAAATGTTCACGGACACTACAGCCGACCCGATCTCTTGTGGTTGGGCGTAGACTCGCGCGAGAAGAAACAGGTTCGCAGAGAAGCTGAGCTGCTTGACGCTTGAGGGAGACGGTTATCCCTGAATCATTGGTTGGGATGAACATGTCTAAATTGGGTTGTATGGTCATCAAATGAGTTCTGATCTTACTAAGTACTAAGCATCTATGGAACATTGCTCTGTCCAGTCTTTTGTTCTCCACGATCTAGCAATGACCTCTTTACCTGTGATACGCAAATCTGCCGTTATTCCCGAGTTCCATAATCTTGCCCCGCAGTTGACAGCAATCTTTGCCTCTCCTCCATCGCATCCAAGGCAGGCTTCTCCTCCTTCACAAAAGTCCGTCCCTTAATGGCCACAAATACGGTCAGAATGAGACCGACTACAGTGCCTGCAGCGCCAAGAGTAATGTTGACGGGCGTTGGATCACCACCCAATGGGCCATGAGTGAGGGCATCGAGGCCGGATTGCGAGAAATTGATCAACCCAGAAACGCATACGATGGTACCATAGATACGACCAAAGGTAGCGAAGCCGAAAACCTTCGTTGCGTAGTCGCTAAGCCTTGTAAGTCCCTCTGAATGTTTGTAAACAAGGAATTGTGCTCTGTACTTACGAAATAGCTGAGTAGTAGAGAGGTCGAAATACGACAAAAAAGACAACAGTCGCATAGCCCGCCCATGCGAATGGAAGGCAATTGAGAAGACCGATCGACACAATGAGAACAGTCAAAACTCCAAATGTTGTGGGCACGCTAAGATTGTTGAGGAGAAAGCCGATAAACGGAGTTGACACCAGGCCTCCAACAGGCAGAGCGATGTCGAAGAAGTGATTGATTGCATCGGCTTCAACTTCAGAGCCCAACATGAAGCGGTACTGAGCGCGGATGGTTGCGATGAAGCAGTTCATTCTCAACATCTGTACGATCGTCAAGAGGAGAATGAGAATGAACCATGGACTCTGAATCTGCTTGTGGGCAGGGACACCGTGGAGTACGCCCCATACACCACTCGCCTCTTGTCGCTCCTCTTTGACTTTGACGCGCTCCTCACGAGCTTGTGCATCGCCGGCGACCTCTTCAATCTGGTCCAACTTCGACAGTCGCCGCTCGGCTCTGGCGCTTCTGACCTTTCTCAACGCTCTGTCGTCGGAAATCTCGTTATCCGAGTCGTGGGCATCGCGTGTTTCATCCTGTGCCTTGTCAATTTTCTCTTCCAATTGCGGCATGGTATGATAGGATCGGGCCGGCATGTAGGCAATCTCAGCAATCAAGATGAGGACGGGGATTGCAATGTATGCGTAGAAGAACTTTTCGAGGGACAGCTGTCCGTTAGTCGCGTCATACACCATCTGATAGATGAGAAAGACGGCAGCGGACGCGTCAAAGGCTCCGGTGACAAGGGCAATGATAAGCCCACTATACTTTGGGAATGCGTTGGCCAACTGAAAGCTGGAAACGAAAACAAATGTTCCGCCCAAAGCCAAGAAGATGTTGCCAAGGAAGTAACCATCGAAGTAGCCTTCAAAGTTGTGGGAGGCGGCCATCAGAACGCAGCCAATGGTGAGGCAGATGGAGGATAGGATCCAGCAGGTCCGTCGACCGTAGCGATCAAGAACTGAACCAGCCAGAAGAGACGACACGTTGGCAGTGACAGATGCGACGACAAAGAAGAGATTGAGGCGCAAGTCCTGCTCCGCGCAGGGAATATACTCGCCGTCATCGGCAGTAATTAGGTCGTTGGCATCGCAAAGGTCGCTGTAGACTCCTTCGGCAATCAGAATGGGCTTGAGGGCAGCGAAGCCGAAGACGATGCCTGCAGCTAGCCAACACGCGACAATGCCAGTGGCCACCTGTGCTACACCGTGTTAGCGGCTTCACGTAAAACGGACCGAGCCTTTGGCACAGCGCTTACCCCATCTCTTTGCGTTGGAGACTTTGTATGCTGCAATGGGCTTTTCGACGTGAGTCTGCTCAACAGGTGCAAAGCTCAAGCGTCGCCATTGCAGATCATTGTTGTTGATGAGGCTGTCAGTCGACAAGGGTTGGAGTGTGCCGAACACGGCCTCGCTATCACCGGATTGGTCGGGCTGTTCTGCAGGACGTTCGTAGTCGAAGCCTTCGGCTTGGGTGACGTGCTGCGCGAGCGACATTGGCAGAACCTAGGCGGTTTGAAGGGACGGGCTGAAGGGACATAGACACGCAGGTCAGAGAGCATCCGGCACTCATGAAAGAGGGGAAAATTCAGTCAAGTAGAAGAGTATTTATTGCCATCGAGGAGTATCCTTGTGATTCCATCGATTCGAACGCTCATGCATTTGCAACGTCCCCTGTCGTGCAACGCGCACACCGCCAGCGGGATACCGTGTCTGTGACGTAACCAAGCGTTAATGTTGAGGGGGGCTGGCTAGTTCGACATTTCCAGCAAATTCCAAACTTCGGAGCTTGGGCCATCGTCGCGGCTGTCAGAGCGGGGCGCCTCCGGGTCCCATCCCGTATCCGGCGCCGAGGAGTGGATCGCAACTCCGGATTCTGCTTCACTGATTCAATTTGCTGGCAAATCGACTCTTCGCCCGGATTGTCTCGCCATATCCGACAAGAATCCAAGGACCTGCGGTAAGCAATAGGCCGACCCCACCAAGCAGGCTAGATGCCGGTCCGTACCCGAGATTGGTGTACATCTGCACTGTAACAAGCGGGAAGATGCCGCCCAGGCAATTTCTGCAAAATGACTGTGCCGCCAAAGCAGAGCTAGCGTAAGCGTGGTAACTGTCCGCTAGATAGTTGAAAACAGCCAAATAGATGGAGAATATCCCCAGAGTTGAGATGCCGAGGCCGATAGCCGGGACGATCCAGTGGACCTGCTCTCGAGCCGTCCAGCCCAAGATGAAGAGGCCGATCGGTAGACAGATACTCTCAACGCAACTAAAGTAGAGTCTTCTTTCTGGTCTGTCCAATGGAATCTTGGGATTGAATATCGTGTTCAGCCAGCGTTCCTGGTATATGCTGATCGGAGTGGCGATGAGCGATGCGATGCACAAACTTGTGAAGATGGTGTTAGCAGTTGAGAGATCGAAACCATAGACCGTAGTGAAGATGAGGGGAACCGCGGCAAAGCAAAGATACAGGATTGACCAGCTGAACGCTGCCCAGAGTGAGAAAAAGAAGACGATTGGCTCAGTGAAGAGCAGCACGAAGCGAAGGGTCATGGAAGCAGCAATCATCTGGCCGATTGATCCTCTTCCTTCATCGCCCTGGGTGCGCCACTTGATCTGTCGGGATAAAACTTCTGCCCTTCTCCGCTGATTGTCACCTCAAATCCGGACACCGATTCGGCTTCTGCCTTGTACCACTGGTTTAAAACGTCTGCTTTTCGTCGGAGGAGGACATTTTGTCGGGTTTCTGGCAGGAATAGGAGGAATGCTAGTGCATTGAGTGCATTGACAATGACTTGAACCCAGAATATCCATCTCCAATTCAGATACTGGACGATGAACCCGCAGAATAGAGGGCCCAAGCCCGTCCCGAAAAGCGCTCCACCAGAAAAAACGGCCATCGGCGCATTGCGCTCATGAGGTTTGTAGTTATCCGAAATCACGCCTCCGATCATGCTGGAGTATGTCGAGCTACCCACGCCGGCAAAGGAGCGCGCAACTAGCATCCTAGCTCAAAATGCAGTTAGATATCATAGATCCATCTGCGACGTCAAGAATTCCTTCAACATGCAAGACTGACCCTCCGTATGACTGGGTAATGGCGCTACAAATTTGGCAGATGACAAATAAGGTACCAGTGAGCGTAAAAACTAGCTTCCTACCCCATATTTCGGAGAAAGGTGCTAGTACCATGGGTGTTATGGCGAAACCCAGCGTAAAAGTCGTGATACCAACTGCGGCCGCTGTTTGACTGATGCCCCATTCCGCGGCAAGGGCATCCTTCGCAGAAGCGTAAGAGCTCGCCGCTACTGACGCGAATGCGGTAGCAACGCACAACAAACATAGCACAGAAATCTTTCGTAGTCTGCTCCAAGCTTCTGGCGATCTGAATTGGTGGTTTACATGGGTTGGAGGGGGGAGTCGCTGAAGGCATGTGCCATCCGTAGAAGCCCTAAAGGGGATCGGCAAAGTTGCATCGAATGTGGCTTCCAACTCAAGACCGTCGATAAGTGTTTTGGAAAACGCTTCAGCTGTTTCGTACGAGTTTTCGCCAGGCATGGCTGTGATTTGTGCACACAAGACCAAAGAGAGGTACCGGTTGTGGTCAAGAGGACACTAGAAAGGCTTTGTATCGGCTGAAAGGCAAGGCTAAGAAACGAAGTTCGGATGGGAAGATTCAATAGTCTAGAATCGTCTACTTAGAAGAGTCGTGTTATTGAAAAGGAGTATTCTATTGTGCCTCTAGGTAATGGATCGACATTAGTCAGTCTCTGCGATGACACCATCAGCGCTGAATTTGTCACCTTGGGGTAGATGGCTTCGCTTTCGCTTTTAAAAAAAAGTATTTGAGAAATCAAGATAAAGTGCATATTCTCGTGGATAATAGATTTAGGCGTGATCACTCGCACGAGACATCAATCTTCTCGGGTGTAGGGAGATGGATCTGCAAATCAAGGAGACCCAATAGATGTGGGACCAACGTCTCCAAGTCTCCAACTCCTGCATATGTCCCCGACCCGAGCAGCCCACGTTGAGCTGAACCCTTGGGCACTGTTTGTAAGCGAAAACCCATTCAAGTTTGCTTTGGCCAGATGGTCACTGGTGTCTGGTAATACATTACAAGAAATGTTGTTAACGGGTGCTGTCTATCGAGTGCCTCAAGAGCAGGAAGGTTCGAGCAAGTCCACCCGCAACGTCTCGGCAATATTTCAACCAGCTCGAACGGAAAGATTTTGGAACTTGTAGCCATAACTCAGGATAAATCAAGAGCCCGAAATCTATCCCCAAGAATCAAGGATAAGGGTAAGTAGTCCACTGGCTTCCTATCGTTGAGAGCTTATATATATGGGAAAGCCGGCGCATTCGGAGTCAGAAAGATATTGCAGGTCTGGCATTGGAGAACTTAAGATCAAACCACCCAAAGTCCTTTGGAATCCCGGAAAAAATGAAAGAGGCATTGATTGACAACACTCTTCGGGTCAAAGTTCACGATGTGCCCATTCCAACCCCTAGCCCTGGCCAGCTCTTAATACGGACAATTGTATCTGAACCAACCCCAAGGACTGGAAAATGCCAAAACTTTGGGTCCCTCAAGCTTCACCTAGTAACTATGGTGATGACATCGCCGGCTACGTCGAGGCCGTCGGTGAGGGTGTTTTAGGCTTCAGCAAGGGCGATCGCGTGGCTGCTTTCCACGAAATGGGCGCACCACATGGAAGTTACGCCGAATATTCAATTGCATGGGCTGACTCCGCTTTCCATATACCAGCCCACATCACTTTCGAAGGTGAGAGTGGAGAAGTTAGATAACATCACCGACCCAGGGTCTAATAACATTGGATGACAGAAGCCGCGACGATTCCTCTGACTGCAATGACGGCTGCTCTAGGGCTCGACCAGAGACTCGGATTGCCACTGCCCTGGAGTGCAATCACTGAACCACTACCATTGATCATTTATGGCGGTGCCACGGCCGTCGGATCATTTGCAATCAAGCTTGCAGCTCTCTCGAATATTCACCCTATTATGGCTGTTGCAGGCAATGGTACTTCTTATGTGAATACCTTACTCGACAAATCTAAGGGTGACACGGCGATCGACTATCGTCAAGGGGAGGCTCACACGCTGGAGAAAATCAAGGAAGCTGCCGGCGAAAATCCGATCATCTACGCCTTTGACACGGTGTCTGAATCGAATACGCTTCGAATGATTGATCGAGCGCTCGCACCCGGCAAAGGCAATATTGCGAATCTTCTACCAAGTTCGCCTAAGAACGAGTTGTCTTCGGAGTTAACGTTTACGATGGTAGGAACTATACACGCATCTAAGTCTACCAAATCTTGGCCAGCCCTGGGTAACAGAGAATTTGGAACACTCTTTTTCTCGTTCTTCGGGCGGGGCCTGCAAGAAGGCTGGTTCCATGGGCATCCCTACGAAGTGCGGACTGGAGGATTAGATGCCTTGGGGCAGGTTCTCAGAGATCTCGAGGCGGGCAAAAGTTCGGCGAAGAAGTACTTGCTGAAAATTGCAGAGACCAAGGGCGTTATGTGATGGGCTTGGCTGGCTCATGACGAGATTCACGGTCACAAGTCTTTTTTTCTTTCTTTTTTTTCAAGTAAAGATTCAGGGGTCAATAAGACTGCCTGTATTTTCCCATAGACCAAAGCTCATTACGCATCATTCCAAGATCCTACGATCAACAAAAGAAAGTTGCCGATACTAGCCACAAAATCAAGGTGCAGCTATCACAGCCTTTTGACTTCCGTACTTGCTCTCCCACTCATCGTTGACTTCACGATAGTCTTCGGGGGCGTATGGTTCATACCACTCAGCCAAGAACCCCTTCTTACGCCAGGGTGTAAGTCCCAAATCCTGCTGCAGCAAGTCAAGATATGGAACCGCATCAAAGACAAAGCTAGGGCATTTGTTGGAGCCCCAGTCGGTAGGGTAGCGCCAGTATCCGTATCGGTTCATGACGACAGTATCATACTTCAACTTCTGCATTGCGGCATCGTCGCCAACCGCTGCTGCAGGGTCTTTCGCCAGACGACCAGAGAAATAGGCGCTGATCCACAGACCCTGCATGTGTGCGGTGATCACATTGCTGAAGTTGCTGACCATGCCCACGAAGGCTGTATCGCGACTTCGCAGGAAGCGTTCCGAGGCTGGGACGATGAAGTTGTGAAGCATGTATGGCGTGAGAGACTTGTAAGGTGTAACCTCATCCTCACTATCGATGCCCTTCATGTCAGTCATGGGAGTATAGTCCTTATTCCACACCGGCTGGTTCTTCAGTCTGGGGAAACGCTCCAAGATTTCTTTGTCGGCCAAGTCGATGAGGTCTTTCTGACCTGCCAGATCCTCACGTGGAGCGTTGTCGATGGGTGTGTGAGGAATGCCGAGATCTTTCTCAATACCTTCAGGGAGGAACTTGATCGGCGGGACATGTTTCCAGCCAGTGTGAGCCAGCAGTGCGTCGGCGTCAAGCTCAGTCCCGTCCAAAAGATGAACCTTTCCAGGACTGAGATGATCAAGCTCACCGACATAAACCTTCACTGTACCATCCCTGATAAAGTCGAAGAAGTTCGTGTCGTAGTTGAGAATACTGAAACTGGTTGAAGTGAACATTGCTTCGGTCCATGGCTTGAGCTTAGCAGTATCTGGATGAGAGTCGTACTCCATAAGCGTCTTAGCGTCATCGCCGAGTACTTTCCAGAAGCCGTCAACGATAGTTCGTCCAGCCGCAGTACCGTGGAAGAAATTCCGAATGCCAATGTAGCCATCAGCATCTCCCCATACGCAAGGGCTGAACCATGTCAACATCCGTGTATCTGTGGGAGCACGTTAGACTTGAGGTGTCTGAGAGGTCGCCAGAAACTTACTAGCAAGCTTCTCAAGCCACTTTTTGAGCGGTGTAACGAATGGAGGAGCCATCCAACACGGACCATGGCCCTTTGCTACAACCGCAGTCAGCGATGAGAACAAGATGGAATGCATAATGACGACTCACATCTGACAATCCAATTCACCTTGACGCCTGCGGTTGCATAAGCATATGCAGCATCCCACGCGAACTTTGTTGAACCAAAGATCGTGACAGTCTTCGCCGTTGTGAGAGTGTCAGCGTTCTTTTGGAAGTCCTTGCCATGGAAGATCTTGCCACCGAAGGACTCTTGGCCCTCGAAGTGAGGTAGCCATGGCTCAGATGTGAGCCCCGTCGCGATGATGAGGTGGCGAGCAAACACCTTGGTCTCCTCTCCGCTCGCGTCCGACACAGTCAGAATCCATCCACCTTCGATCGTTTCCTGGTGCTCGGCGGTGAGCACCTTATGACTGGAGCGAATCTTGTCGGCAATGCCAAACTTATCCGCATAGGCTTTGATGTACTTGTTGACCGTTTCTCCGGGAATATGCTGACGAGGATGGATGTTGAAAGTCTCACTGTCCATGGGGAAATCAGGATACTCAAACATCCCCCATAGGTTATTGCTCTTCAGCCCAGGATACAGGCGACTTTCAGCCCATGTACCGCCAAGCGAGGGCTGTGAGTCAAAGACGACGAGCGAGGCTTCTGGCTGCGTGCAGTGGAACTGCTTCGCGGCGCCCAGGCCGTACCATCCTGTGGTGTTCTGTCAGCATCCCACGTCTTTGTGCGCGGTTTTCCGTGTCTCAGTGCCCTCAACATCTTCTAGAATGTCTCGGTAGCGTTGAGATTGACACGAGGGTCTGAGACCTACCGGCTCCCACAACGACGCAATCAAACTTCTCCATCTTTTCGGCAACGGATCAGCTTTCTCGAGAAAGACGAATTGCCGGATGACAGAGAGAGTAAGCAATCGGTCGGAGAAGTCATCCTGATGAATCTCTGCTTACTCTCTGTGCTTATTTTCTGTCAAGGGTGCGGAAGGATTTCGAGGTGCATCTGGCTAAATTAGAATGAGACGACCGCGGAAGCGGCATACCGGGGCCCCATGGCATGCTGATCTCCTCCCTTTGGAAGGTGAACTGCTCTGCAACACCTGGACACTTCCCATTTCGGCGTGGCGACAGGGTCTGCAGCCCCTGATCTCGACAGATGTTCGTGCCTTGGCCGCAAACCACTTTAATAAACTTCCAAAATACCAACCCCAGGTCCACCATCAACAGACGACATCTTCATCCCAATCCTCCCCGAACGCGTTGTCAAATTTGCTTACCGTTGCATCGGGGCGTTACTTATTGACTAGTCAGCGCGGGAAATCTGTCGGGGCTATCCGGGCGTTTCCTCAAGGTTCCCCGCGGCCGCAATCGTGATTGGACGTTGTCCCACGGGGTTACCTGCATTGAGGGTCCAATAAACACGAGTGACCAATGATAATGTCGGTTCCCAGCAGTGTTACTATGAACAGGGTGTGAATATGTTGGCGCCAACAGACAGTCGTTCGCATGTCACCTTGAAGAGTCCAATGCTACCCTTCGATATGACGGCCGGCACTGAGCGAGTCATTCTGTAGGGCAATAGTTTGGGAGATGGCGACAAAATTGTGTCCAACGGGCACTTGTGTCCTGCGGATACATTTATTCAGAGGCAACTTTACCGAAAAGACAGCAGGTTGGAACTCTGCACATTTATTTACTTCCCACAATACGGCCCCTGAGCCCGACGGGCTCGTTCTGGTCTTCTCTGGCGTGAGCTGCGCTGACCGGGGTCATTTTCCCCCTGTGGGGCAATGATCCAACAGATGTTTCGTTTCTGGAAACCTTAAGAAAGACTTGCTTGGTGAGCACTCATCGGATTGAGCGAGAATTGAATGAGATGGCATGGCATCTTGTGATCGCGATGCTTGGTCAGACTTGATTTGGATTAGAAGGTAATGGCATTGCGACCTCGGTGAAGTAGTACCAAATGGTTGCAATTCCCTAGCCGTCACTCAGCCCGTATTCACTTACAACTCATCCATCACCATGGCTTCGGATTCGCGCCCCTCTCGCCCGCCCGTCGACGATTCAGGCACAGACATCTCAAACGCCGTTCCAGGGTTAACTCCGCTAAATCAATGGCAGGGTGCCGGTGATGATGGACCTTGGAACCCCATGACAGTGGATCGACAGAACTCTTTGGGGCTGACATGCGTTGATCGAGAGCGCATTCGGACTCCGGTAGGAGCTGGGTTGCGCTCAGAATGTTGTACAAATTGAACACCCCGGAAGCCAACATCCTCGCCTGGAGTTTCTCTTTGGTGGTTTTGCTTTCTTAGTCTTTCGTTTGGTTCGTACACAAGTCGGTCGTTACTCATCCCTATTCAACATGTCCGACGCTGCAGCAATGGATCCCGCGGCGGCGGCGGCGGCGGCTGCTGCTGCCGCCGCGGCAGCCATGAAGTCCTTCACTATTGAGGCGTGGACGCTTCTGGCTGTTGGCGTTCTCTTCACCATCCTCAGAACCTATGCCAGAGTGAGGGCAGTCGGTTTCAAAGGCCTCCAAGCTGACGACTACCTGGTCTGGGTCGGAGTGGTCAGTTTCTCCATCTCTTAGACTTTCGCTTACCCGCTGACCCCGAGATGGCCAGATCTTTTATGTCATAGAGACGGTCCTTGCTCACTCCGTTGGAGCCATCGCGAAGGGCATGGCTAACAATGGCATGACTGACGAGCAGCGGGCCGCACTCTCGCCAGATAGCGAGGAGTATCGCCTAAGGTAGGATGCCTCACCCCACATGAGTATCGGCCTTGGCTAATGATCTTTGTAAAGAGTAATCGGCTCTATCATTCAAATCTGTGGATGGTCAAGTTATTCCGTTCTTTTGTGGTCGCTGAAGGCCTCGTTGTTGGTATTCTACATCAGGTTGACAGTACGTTTACTCGCGTCTCCCTGCGAACGAAGTGATTGTCTAACATTGCATAGGCTGGTCTGGGAAAAGCCTTTAGAATGCGTATCTATGTCGGCTTTGGTTTCCTTATTGTCAGCTGGATCGTTGTCGTTGCAAACCTTTTCTTAGCGTGTCGACCCTTTCACAAGAACTGGCAGATCTACCCGGACCCCGGTAGTAAGTCAACGTCTTCCCGCGATGATATGTTGCCGTTTTGCTGACTTGCGATCTCTAGATGTCTGCCAGCCAGCAATTTCCAACCAGGTCGTCTGGGTCTACCTTTCATTCAACGTCTCGACGGACCTTTACCTGTTGTCAATTCCCCTTCCTATGCTTTGGCAGGCCAAGCTAAAGCCCCTGAAGAAGTGGGGTCTGCTCTTTCTCTTCAGCGGTGGCCTCTTCGTCATTGTCTGCGCCACCCTTCGATGCGTCCTGATTGTGACTGTAAGTTGTTGCCCCCTGTTTGCGTTGGCAAATGCTGAACTTGGTCCCCTTTTTAGGATCCCCAAAATGGAGCACAACTTGCCGGCTCGTGGGCAGTTCGAGAAACCTTCGTCGCTGTCATTACAGCTAACCTGCCAATGGTCTTCTCCATCGTCAAACAGTGGCTGACGCCAGTTTTCGGCTCCCTCATCACCTCGATACGTTCGTCGCAAAGACAGACCGAGAACACGCCAAGAGAAGTGCGCACCTTTGGCGCCGGCAGCAACCAGAGCTGGCGCGGACGCGGCCCTCCTTCAGCATACCCGATCACCAACATCACCTTCAACGAAAGCGAGGAGCGCATGGTCAATGAGATCAAGATGCAAGACGTCAAGGCTTGGGGTGACCCGTACGCCGACGGAAGGCCGCCCACCAGGTCCCACAGCATGAGCAGAAGTGCGAGCACCGCCAGCAGGCATAGAAATGGCAATATCAGGAAGGATATTGAGGTCGCCATCACGACCGAGGTTCGCGAGCTGAAGCCTGATGCGAACGGCAACATCAAAAGCGTGTCGCCTCGGAGCTTTTCGTTTGCCAGGGGCCCGAAGAGGAACTCGAAGAGAGCATCGGCGCACAGCGCGGTGTTTGACGCGAATAACAGGATTTAATGGCCTAATTTTGTATGAGTAAATATGTAGAGTACCAAGTAACAAATCGTGCGCAAGCAAGCTCGCTCCATTTCCCACATGAATGTTGTATTCTTGAACTTGATGAGTCACCTAGAGTCGGAAGCTATCACAAGATTGGGCTCCGTCATACTCAAAAGATAAGGTATTTTCGCGTGAATGAGTTCACACTGCATCTCCAAGAGGGGCAACGGAGCTTCGTTCGGGAAATTTTGCTTGTTTTTGGGGTCTAAGCAGATCCATGAGTGGGTATTGACGGTTGCCTGGGTTGCTCGGGTTATGTATGAATCGCGGGTTTTCCGGCGACTTGTAGATGTTACAAAAGCTTGGTTGTGTGCTTGATGCGAAGACGAGGAACTCATTGGTTGATTATGGCTACCTAGAACAGGCAGCCAAATTTTAGAGACCTGCAAACACAAAAGCGTGTGTCAACTGAGATTCCAGGCGTCGGGAAGATAGATAGATGTCTGACAGACGGCCTGCCATGTGTGAACCGTCAGTTAGCACTTTAGCGGCGTATCCCAGTAAGTTGGTGCTGAGTGCACCTATGGTCATCGACATCCCTGTCGGCAGCGTCCAGGCACCTATCGACTGCGCTTCTTGCATGAAGTGGGCAACACGTTTGGTGAATAACTACCTACCCTTTGCGGCCTCAACGAAGATTCTGTTTCGCCGCGACTTCAAAGTGTCTGTCTAGTTGCCTGGTGGACTAGTTAGGCATCCATTTGACGACAATCGAGTGTGATTTCTGTTCATGTTATGGATGTCAGTATGCACAACGCATGGAGGAGCTCCGTGTTAAACTGCACTCGCTGTATTTTGGAAGTGGAGGTACCCCCGCCCAGCGCCGTATCTTGCCGGAAGAGGCAAGAACACGACCGCTGCAGCTGTCCGAGGTGGGTCCCCTCCCCGTTCAGTGCTCCTGCTTCACGGCATCTCGCTGACGGGAACAATTTCTTTCAAATACAAGACCGCGTCGCTTTGCAAACGAAGCAGAGAACGAAATCAGGCACAGAAGTCTACATCATTGCAGTTTTTGTCTGACTTTTCTTTCCGAATCATGGACGAATACCACACCAAGCATACCCCATGGTTCCAGGCTTCCGTCGAAGCCTTCGCGGCCAAAGCGGCCAAGGAAGACCTGGCCCGCGCCGATGATCCGAATACCACACCGAACCCGGACATGATTGTTGCCGCCCGGCTCCGGCCCATGTTCGAGGACGAGGTCTCTGCCGGTCTCATTCGTGGTGTCTTTACGCGCGACAACACAGACGGAGCTGTCGATATCCACCAGATCCGAAAGCATATCAAGCCTCTTGGCCCTCCTACCCTGATCGTGAGAAGCAATCAACTCTCCTACAGTTTGAATAGCAATCCTAATGGTAACAGACAACTTCGGTTGCCTTGGACCGCGCATATGGGCCGGAGGATACGTCCGAGAAGATCTACCAAGATTTGGTGGAACCCCTCGTCCCATGGGCCTGGAGCGGCGGTGTTAGTACCATGTTCGCCTACGGCCAGACAGGTTCGGGCAAGACATTCACCGTCAGCGCCATTGAGAAGCTGGTCGCTCAGTCTCTGATGCGAGGAAACCTCGGTGGCGAACGCAAGGTGTACGCCTGCATCATCGAGCTGGCAGGCAATCGCGCCTTTGGTAAGGGCCTCTCCAATACCCAGCAGCAGTTCGATCACCACTAAACATACCATCCCCAGATCTACTCAATTCGCGCAAGCCTATTTCCGTCCTGGAAGACTCTTTCGGTGTTACCCAGCTGGCGGGTGCGCAGGAGTTTGAGGTGACCGAAGCGGGCACCCTACTCGACCTGATCGAGAAAGCGGCAACTTACCGACGGACGGCAGCGACCGAGAAGAACGATGCATCGTCTCGATCTCACGCAATCTGTCGCATGCGCATCGAGAATCCCGCCATGCCCGCTGCCGAAGACGGGCTGCTGTACCTCATCGACCTGGCCGGTTCGGAAGCTGCTAAGAGACAGGGCTAACCACACCGCCGATCGGATGAAGGAAGCTCGCGAGATCAACACCAGTCTGTCCGTCCTGAAAGATTGCATTCGGGGCAGAGCGACGGTGGATGCAGCATCCTTGACGGGGAAGCCCAAGAAGCCAACGCACATTCCCTTCCGCCAGAGCTCCCTCACCAAGATCCTGAAGCATGTCTTTGATCCTACCAGCCGTCGGAGCTGCAAGACCGTGGTCATGGCATGCGTCAGTCCTTGTCTCCCGGACTGTCCCGCCGGCAAGAACACGCTCAAGTACGCCGAGATGTTGAGGGTCCTCTTGCCCAAAGCTAAGCCTTGGCCGTATGACTCGGATGTGCCCTTTACATGGAACAACAATCAGCTGAAGAAATGGATCAGTGAAAATGTGAGCAGTCCCTCTCTGTCCTTGGTCGCAGCGTTCTAATATCCAGCAGTCCGGGGCCCCTGCCATTTCGAGCGATCTCCTTGCACCGTCTGAGACGGGCGCCCAACTCCTCCGTCTTCCCACCCCAGAGTTCCTCACTCGCTGCCTCAAGACCCCGGAAGGAACGCCGGACCAAGCCCGCGCTTTCCAAGCCAAGTTTTGGCGTCTTCACTTAGACTCTCAAAAGTCGTCCGCTAAGAAGGTTGACACAGCTGGTGAAGAGGCGCCGCAGACCAAGGCTGAAGAAACCATCTCGAGGAACCAGAAGCTTGCTTCCAGTGCTGACCTCGATTCGAGTGCCGCAAAGTTGCCTTTCAAAGAACGCATCCGTCCGGGTATGGTCGTTCGCTGGAATCCACCTGCTGGTTTCTCAGGTACACTGCCCGGGTTGAACATGGCCGTCATCCTGTGCCCCCAATTGGCCGCGGGGTCCAACGCCCGAGATCTTGACGGCAATCAGGTTAATGGAGAGATAGCCGATGGACAGGAGTCCAACGGCACGAAATATTTGTGTGCAACGGTTCTTCCTGGTTTCATGGCCGATTCCTACGAGATCAGCATGTGGCGTCAGGTGGTCGTAGATGTCGAACAAATGGAGGCCGAGGTACTGCTGGAGTACGATTCGGCGACGAGATATTGTCATGTAACACTCTAAATGATATATACAGACAAATTCCAATCTTACAGAAGTTAGAAACAGAAGTTGTGGCGATAAAAGCTGCCCTTTTGCCCATGGAGACCACTTCCTATCTCAACGCAGTATCAGCGCTGCGACTCGGCTTAGCAATTTTGATGTTGCGAAAATGAAATAATTATCGAAAGTCTCGTTTCCATTTGGTGAGTAGATTCGAAACGAAGACCTCAACCTCCGCAGGCGTCGCCCAAGACATTCTCGTATGTAATACGAGAATGTTATTACGCGGAAGGCGCGGAGGCAGCGCCGCAGCGATTCCATTGACTTCAATACGCATCTGCCGTTTTCTCTCGTATCTAGTCCGACGCGTCCTCTTATTTCCATTGGAATGCAGCAATTGATGATTTTTTCCCATTCAAGATATTGCGCATCACCAGCGACGATTGAAGTTTCTCAGGACCCGTCACTGGAGCGCTTCCCAACCCGCTCGTATTGTCGTATTCGCGAGCTTTTAAGCACTCCTTCAAACATCAACAACCATGGACCAGATAGCTGACTGCGAACCCGGAAGTATAATGACTAAAGACTCCATTGATCCGACCTACAGCTGTCCCGGCATCGACCGTGATTCTCACCACACCTCACCAGCAGCTCATGTTCAAATCGCTGGGCATTTCGAGAATACGCGTATCCGGTTCAACTTCTACTTTCCTCCAAAGGAGTCTTGGGATGGGAGATTCTTCCAGCTCGTCTTCCCGACCCAGTCAGAACACGCCACTCCCGAAACCATTGGCTTCGCATTAGCCAGCCGTGCCTATGCCGTCCAAGTTACCGGCGCCCGTGGCTTCGAGGCTGAGGCTGCCGCTGCTGAGCTTTCGAGGGTAATCGCCAGAAGGTACTATGATGAACCTTTGCGTCGCATCTATGGCTACATCTACGGTGGGAGTGGCGGCTCTTTTCAAGTCATTGGTGCCATGGAGCGATCCAGGGGAATCTGGGACGGGGCTGTTCCTTTCGTCCAGGCGGTGCCGATTTCTGCCCCCAACAACCCCTCAATCAGAGCGATGGCTGGATTGATTCTCCGAAAGAAGGCTGGCGAAATTCAGAAAGCATTGAGACCCGGTGGCAGCGGCGATGTTCTTGCTGTCCTTGACTCCGTCGAGAAAGATGTCCTTATCGAGGTGACAAAACTTGGGATCCCACTCAGCACCTTCGAGGACTTTGCTGCAGCAACAGATGCATCAACGTTAGCTCTGTTAACGAATTCAATCGTCAATATGTTAGATCCAACCTATGCAACCGATTTCTGGTCTAAAACAGGGCACCTTGGCACCGAGCTGAGTCCCCTCGGGGACATCTTCAGAAGGGCGCGGGTCAGCTTTGAAGCCACCGTCCGACATGTCACAGTTGACCTGGCAGGGGTTCCCATCAAAATTCATTTGCAAACTGTGCCCCCCTCATCTGCTACTCTTGACGAGTACTGGTACGACTTCACAGTCTATTCCTCGAGCAACGCCGTCCTTGGTATCTTGACGGGGACCTTCAACGTCATCACCAAGATGGCTACATTCGACCTCAAACTTGTAGGTCAAAACGATACTTCTCTTCTCAAATGTCTATCCAGAGGAACGATACTCAATATCGATAACATCCGATCGCTGGCAATGCGGGCCTACTACCGGTATCAAGTTCCTGAGCGGTCTGGTTTCTACGGATTTGACCATCTGCGTGGACCCAAGGGATCTTTGATATACCCCAGACGGACAGTGGACGTCTCTGCACGTCTCGCGGAAGGTGCCTCGTACTCAACTCACGACGGTGATATCAAGGGCAAAATCATTGTTGTCCAAAACCTCGCCGACAGCGATGCTTTTCCTTGGCACGCCGACTGGTACAGGGGGCAAGTCAAGCAAGCTCTGGGCGATCAGTTCGACAGCAACTACCGACTATGGTTCAACGAGAATTCCGAGCATGACTTTGAAGGACCCAAAGACAGTCGCAGGTCACTAGTAGTGCCGTATCGCGGAATGGTTCAACAAGCACTGCGAGACTTGAGTGCCTGGGTCGAGAAGGGGGTTCAGCCGCCGAATCCTACGTCTTACAACGTGGGCGAAGACAACTCGATTCAGATACCATCAGCCGCATATGAGCGAGGGGGCATTCAGCCCACGGTCAGCTTGACTGTTGAGGGCAAACAAAAGTTTGAAGCAAGGGTCGGACAGGTCGTCAACTTCCAAGCCAGCGTCGAAGTCCCTCCTGGGGCCGGAAAGGTGATCTTCGTAGAGTGGGACTTTTTCGGAAAAGGGCGATTCACATATGGTCACCTCGGCGTTCCAAGCTCGAAGGTCCACGTCAATACCGCATTTGCCTACAATACCCCGGGTACCTTCATCGTTGGTCTGCGGGTAACATCACAACGTGAAGGTGATCTCAGAACACCATACACAAAGATCATGAACCTGGCCCGTGTCTCGGTGGATGTAGTACGGCTTCCAGAAATCGGAAATGCATTTCGATTATAGGTTAAGAAGCATTGAATACTCAATACATATGTTAGACACCATTCCTTGTATCTGTGTCTGGAAACCGAAAAAGAAGTCATCTACTCGTTCAAATGTTGCAAAAGCTCCTTTGTGACACGATAAGAGCTCTCGAAAGCACCAGAGATAAACCCTCGCCACCCGTCAGCAAAGTCGGAACCACAGAAATAGACCCTGCCATGCGGCCTGTGAGCCTCTTCATAATACTTTCTGAGAAATCCGGCCTTCCTCACAGGCATGATTCCCCCTGCAAGAGGATCCTCTGACCACAGGTGAGCTCTGGCAGACGTAAGTGTCAGCCCTTGAGGATGCAACGTCTCAATCAGACGCAACTTCTCCTCGTCAGAGTCCAGCTTGTGTCCAGGATGGGTGAGGAACGTGAGCAGCGGCTCACCGTTCCTCGTGCCGTCGGCGAACGCACTGGCAAAAGGCAGACTTCCGCCGTCGCATATGATGTTGTAACCGCCGGGAAGACTTGTCGAAGTTGTGGCAAGAAGCTTGCCCATCTTGGTCGGCACGACACCTTCCTTAAACGCAGCTTGGCGCAAGAGAGACAGTGGTGGGTTGAACTCGGTTCTCGAGAGGACGGTCATCGGGATGGTTGTGATGGCGGCTTTAGAGTAGAACTCCTTCCCAGACTCCAGCGTCACACTCACGCCGTACGGCTCATCTGTTTGAGAGATGGACTTGACCAGCGAGGAGAAGATCCGATGCCCTTTGAAATCATTCAGCATAGCCAGGGCTAGTGAGGTTGTGCCCTTGCTGAGCTTGTACCTCATGATTGCATCTTCGGTCGTTTTCGGATCGAAGCCGCAAAGAGCATACGCATAGAGCACCGCCGAAAATGCCGCGTCGTTCGAGGGTATTCCGAAGAAAGAAGACGCGTGGGCCTCGATCATGATCCGTTCCTCCTGCGACAAGTCCGTCATTTGGGCAACTCTGTCCTTGATGCTAAGCTCATCGATTTGCGAATACAGCGTGTTGTTCCGCATGCTGCTCCGTGTATCGAATGGGAAAGGTATGACGGTGCGGCCGCCTTTCCCATCGACATCCAAAAGCCTAGCCATAAGCATCTCAATCTTGGCGAGAGTCTTGTCCACCTCTTGTGAGTTTCTTGAGACAACCGGGTCCGTGGCGTTTGCTTTTGAGTAGATGGTACACCCCTCCGGGACAGCGTTGGTTTCAGTAAAGTCATCGAGACCGTACCGCTGAACCTCAGCAAAGACGTGTGGTTGTTTCCAGTGGATCCAAGTCCCGCCCATCTCGTACGACTCTCCCCTTTCGCTGTATGCGGTCCACGTGCGACCACCAATGCGATCGCGAGCCTCGACGAGCAAGACACTTTTACCAGCGAGGGCAACATCCCGGGCCGCTGATAATCCTGCGAAACCGGCTCCAATAACGATTACATCGTATTTGTCGAATAGTTCGCCGTCTAGAGTGGATGAGACGACGGCTGGCGTGCGAAGACCTAATCTTTGTTAGTGGGAGCCAACAAAATTCCAGGATACACACCATATGAGAACCCAGATTGGGGAGTCCAGACGAACCCATCGCGAGAGCGAGGCACTTCGGCAGTTTTGTCGATCATTTTGGCGAGAAGCTGAACAAGATGACTAGTTGGTCTGATAACCAGTGATATGATCAGAGATGCTGAGCGAGATTATGATGCGTAAGTTATCATCCCAAACTACCGGCTGGCCATTCGATTTAAGTACACCAACAGTGTCTTCGAGAACACGAAAACGTTCTCCGTCTGCGCGTGCCATCCGAAATATCCAAGCACCTGAAGTTCACATCGCCACGACCTCGGTAGCGTCTGCCCGTGACGTCCCCGTTGCATAGTTGTCGGCTCCCACGCGGGACGCGCCCCTTTTGGAGTCAATCTTGCGGCTCACCACGATAATCGTTGAAGCATGTTGGGGAAGATGTCCCCCATCCCATGTCACAAGAGCTTAACTCAACGTCTGTGGCTGTGGCGGAGGCGAGGTGTCAAGGCGTTGCATCTAGCGGTACGACCGGCCTCCGAAAGACCGCATTGGCATCAGATGACGGAGATTCTGGTGGGAGATATGTCCGCCTTAATCGGTCATTATTTCCACGCACCAAGCCACTGTCCGCTATATCTCACTATCTACAGGCTAGTTTCATAATTCGTCTCAAGCCTCTTAGCTCTGTGTCGGCGAACGTCACGTAGACAACGGCTGCGGCATGCCTGGCGTAGCATTGTACGAGATACGGCCAGCTGGAAGGAAGAACAACGCAACCAGAGCCCCCTTTCTGACCTCGGGGTAGTGATGCGTTCCGGGACCTGGCGACGTCCAGCCTGCGCCCTGCCAACCTTGCATGCCCTTCAGCTCGGCGGTGGCGTCGAGCTGAATAACGCAATTGATCTCCCCATAAGGATGAGCATGGTACTGCCCGGTGTAGTCTTCCTCACTCTCCATGTAGACAGTCGTGATACTAAAGTATCGCGTTTCCTCTGAGGGGAGAGCTATCTGGCCACGTCGGTACTTTGGCCCGTCGATCTCTGTCTGGGCCACCCAACCCTCCACTAGGCCCTGCTTTATATAGGTGCAGAAATCTTCATAAAACTTATTCCCCGGGCCATATTCTCTGTTCAGTCTCTCTTCTAGATCTTTCCCAGGTGTCCTATCATAAAGTTTCAGTTCTTGACGTCTAAGCGGCGGATGTCGTGGTGACTTACAAGTCCTGCACTTCACTTAGGAATTCTCGGCATCGAAAGACGAATTTCTCGGCCGTAGGCCATGCAGAAAGGTCGAGGACGGTGGCACTATCGGTCTTGTTCATTGCAGCGTATTGGGAAGAGGTTCAACAAGAGGGGCTCGGCATTGAGCACTGGATGCTGCCGGTATTTAAGATCGGGATGAAGATGCGGGGAAAAGATCAACCCGTCAGATCTAAGAACAGCCACTGGCTTTGGTCGCATGACAAAGTAGCTGATGATTCTCAATTTACTCAGTTATTTGCCGATCGAAAGAAGCTTCATAAAGAAAAAGAATGATGTTTACGAAAGTATTCAACGAGGGACTCGGTGAAGACACGACTAACACGCCCCCTGTCGGCCGGTATCAGACCCCTTCCCACTATTGCAAGGCATTTTGGTTTCGTCGAGTATCAAAGTGGACTTGCTTCTATCCGTACAGACTCGCTTTTCCATTTTCCAAGCAAGATCAGCGTGACGTGCATCTAAGGTATGGTTAGCAAAAGGCTCTGGAAAGAAGCCGAGTGGAGGTGTTCGTGGCTCTGTCCCTCCAGTGTCCAGGTCACCTTTGAGGGTCTCGCAGGCAGCTGCCCCCCAACACTGTGGAGGTCCAGTTGCACCCCGCCTGCTTCAATGCACGAGCCACCTGAGAGCTCCCCACCACACGTGCCTGCGAGTTGCAGCTTTGGGCAGTTTCGCGTCGCTGCCTGCTGCTGTGGCGCGCTCTGAGTTGCTTCACGCGACGACCACTTAAGCCGCTCCGTCAAGGTGCTGCTGTTTTGCGAACACACCTTCGTCGTCTCACAGCTCTTCCCAGCATCGCTAAGCAGACTATCAATTGACAAGACTGGCGGTTGGTCTGCTCGCCAAGATGCCCGAATTCACAGGTATGCTCTACCGGTAGCCCCTTACAGCTGTTTGCTGACCCTATGCAGAGGCGGACACCATCCGCATCCTGGTTGCGACAGACAACCATGTCGGCTACGAAGAGCGCGATCCGATCCGAAAAGACGACAGCTGGAAGACGTTCGACGAGATCCTGAACATTGCCAAGGCCCAAGATGTACGCAAGCTTGCCTAGCTTGCCTTACTACTACCGAGACTCGGCCCGCTAACCTGTATCGCAGGTCGACATGGTCCTCCTCGGCGGTGACCTGTTCCACGACAACAAGCCTTCGCGAAAGTCCATGTACCAGGTCATGCGCAGTCTGCGAAAGAACTGTCTCGGCATGAAACCTTGCGAGCTCGAGTTCCTCAGCGACGCGAACGAAGTTTTCGAGGGCGCATTCCCCAACGTCAACTACGAAGACCCCGACATCAACATCTCCATTCCCGTCTTCTCCATCCACGGCAACCACGACGACCCAAGCGGCGAGGGTCACTACTGCTCTCTGGACCTTTTACAGGTAGCCGGTCTCGTCAACTACTTTGGTCGTATTGCAGAGGCCGACAATATCGAGGCGAAACCAGTCATGCTGCAGAAGGGTCAAACCAAGCTGGCCCTCTACGGACTGAGCAATGTGCGCGACGAGCGCATGTTCCGTACCTTCAGAGACAACAAGGTCAAGTGGTATCGCCCGGATATCCAGGAGGGGGACTGGTTCAACCTTCTTACCGTGCATCAAAACCACCACGCCCACACCGCCACCTCATACCTCCCCGAGACCGTCCTGCCCAACTGGTTGGATCTTGTTGTCTGGGGTCACGAGCACGAGTGCCTCATCGATCCCTCGCAGAATCCTGAAACTGGCTTCCATGTCATGCAGCCTGGCTCTTCCGTCGCCACGTCGCTAGTACCAGGCGAGGCCGTCCCGAAGCATGTCGCCATCCTGAATGTATCTGGAAAGGAGTTCAAGGTGGAGAAAGTTCCCCTCAAAACCGTCCGTCCTTTCATCACGAGGGAGATCGTCCTCTCCAGTGATTCGCGCTTTAAGGGTTTGCACGCCAAGAAGGACAACCGTCAAGAACTCACCAAGAGACTTATGGTGGTCGTCGAGGAGATGATTCAGGAGGCAAACGAGGATTGGGCTGCCATCCAGGAGGACGAAGAGGAAGAACCCCCGTTGCCTTTGATCCGTCTCAAGGTGGAGTACACCGCCCCCGAGGGTGGTAAATACGACTGCGAGAACCCACAGCGATTTTCCAACCGATTTATTGGCAAGGTTGCCAATACCAATGACGTCGTCTACTTCCACCGGAAGAAGGCCGGTGCCTCCAGTGAGTGTACTTTGCCCACGGATCACCAGACACAAGCTGACATTCCAAAGAACGCAACGCCGAGACAGGTATCCCCGAGATGCTGGAAGAAGCCCTAGGATTGGACACAATCAAAGTGGAGGCCCTGGTTCAAGAGTTCCTAGCGGCGCAGTCCCTGAAGATTTTGCCTACGGCTCCTTTTGGAGACGCTGTCAACCAGTTCGTCAACAAAGACGACAAGCACGCAATGGAAGAGTTCGTTAGCGAGTCACTGGCTGGCCAGGTCAAGCAAATGCTTAGCCTCGACTCCGACGACGAGGACTATGACAAGCACATGGAGATGTACAGATCCAAGCTTGAGGAGCAGTTCTCCAAGGGACTGTTGAAGGAGCGTTCGAAGCGGAAGATCAAGCCCAAGCCAGATGACTGGGATTCTGATATGGACGGTCATTGGGAAGATCAGCCTGGCGTCATTGAGACAGAGACGGTCTCAGAGCCCGCTACGGCTAAGGCGAGATCGAGACGGGCACAGACACAGGACGACGACGATGACATGATGGACCTAGAGGATGAGCCAGTTGCCCGTCAACCTGCAAAGCGCGGAGCAGCCGCTCGTACCACGAAGGCCGCTGCACCGAAGAAGGCGCCGGCGAAGAAGGCAGCGCCGGCAAAGAAGGCACCTGCCAGAGGCCGCAAGAAGCCCTTGTTTGAGGAAGAGGATGAAGAGGAAGAGGATGTGGTGATGGATGATGATGACTTTGAGGAATTACCCGCCCCCACGCGCGGTAAGAGATCGCAACCGGCACGCGCAGCACCCAAGACGACGCGCCAGACGAAACTCAACTTTTCTCAGGCTGCTGCTTCGCAGAAGGCGGTGGAGATTAGCGACGACGAGATTTCTGAGGATGACGCTTTTGAGCCTGCCCCTACCACCCGGTCCAGACGGAGATGAGAAGATGCGTTAGAGCGGGACTCTTTGTCCCTACAGAGCTACAAAGCATGTGTAATAGGCCCTGGAAAGTTCATGATGTTAAGCCAGTCAGGCGGAGTCAGGGAGCGGCGTTTTGCTTTGACTCACCTCATGATTAAGAAGAATCAAGATACCACGCTTACGAGACGACTGGCATTTCCTTCCACATTGAAGTTGTGAGATGTAAGTCTGAATACAAACCGCCTGAGGATCCCCAAGCATGCGCAAATTTGCTTATTCCAAAGCCTGACGTAAGGCCCGTCTGCGTTTAATCCCGGCTGCCCAACCTTTCTTTTTTCGCTTGTCAGCTCGAAGCAAGCGCAGCAATGTAGCAAACAATCCTGTTGTGTGCGCCTGCATGAAAGCGTAGCCTCCGCTGTCAGGCGGCACAAACTTAGCAAGCAGTGGAAGCTGAGATCTTGGCGCATATACATCCGAGGATTCCCCTTGAGCTAGGTTCAGCTCGGTCTTACATCGATTGACTACACCTTTCTTGCAGGATGGGCGTGCCGGCGGTCGTGATCGATAATGGGTATGTGCGATTCTGAGAGTATATGGATTTGTGGGCAGGCTCTGACTCTTGCTAGGTCTGGCTTCATCAAGGCTGGGTTCGGGGGCGATCAACATCCTTCAACCATATTTCGTAACTTCACCATGGCAAGATGTCTCCGTTGACTTCACGTCTGACATGAATCAGCGAGCGTTATTCAATATCCCACGAGATCACCATTAGACGTGCAGCTAAATACTAGTGGATGGCAAGTAAGTCATCATGCATTTCATTTCAAGACTACTTCGTTCGAAAGGACTAACATGAGTAAGTCGGTCTACAACATCGGCCATGCGGTCAACCCTGATCACCCGATCCCGGGATTCCAGCGTATCCGTCGACCTCTCGATCCATACGGCATGATCCAGACATGGGACGACATGGACAAAATATGGAGACACACTTACAAAGAAATCGGCGCCAACCCGTCCTCGCACCCGGTGATTATGACCGAGCCGGGAGTCCACGCTCCCAAAGACCAACGGTTCCCGATCCCCCTCCCGGTTTGTTCTGCTGTGAATTTCTAACACGGCTAGCCTCCGCCAAACAACCTACGTCTTTGAAAGCCTCCACGCCCACTCTTACTTCACCACAACCCCTGCCCTCCTGTCCTCCTACGCCGCCAACCTGCCGACGGCCCTCGTGGTCGACTCGGGCCACACCGCGACCTCGATCCTCCCGGTCCGCGACTTCGCCCCTCTCCACGCCCTCGCCCGGCGCTGCGAGGTTGCGGGCCAGGCGGTGGACGATTGGCTCGCGCACACACTCCGCGCCGACGAGCACGTCCACTTCCCCTCCAACGGCGCCGCCGACGACTTTGTCAGGCTGGCGAAGTTCGAGCGCGTGCGCGTCGCGATGGACTTTGAGAAGGAGTATGTAGAGTGGACCCTGCGCGCGCCCGACGACGAGAAGAGGTGGACGCTGCCGGACGGGAAGAGCGTGGTCCCCGGCCGGCCGGTGGAGGTGATGGCGGGCGAGGTGATGTTCAACCACGCCATCTTGGGGCTCGATGTGCCCGAGTTCTACCACGGGGTCTGTTCGAGCGTGGCGAACGCCGGGGAGGGGTTTGGAGGCACGCTGTTGAGGAACATGTTGCTGGTGAGTGTGCGCATCGAGGCGTTGTTGGAGGAATCGCTGACGTAGATATAGGCGGGTGGAAACACCATGATACCAGGCTACGGCGAGCGGCTTCAGAAGGAGCTGGAGAGGATTCTTCCGAAAGACAAGGTTAACGTCATTTCACCGCGCAACAGAATTTACTCTGCTTGGATAGGGGGCTCCATCGTCAGTCAGCTTTCCACGTTCAAAAACATGTGTATTTCTAGAGAGGAGTACGACGAGACGGGTCCTGAGGTGGTCAACAGGAAATGTCTCTAGATAAATTCTTTCTTTCCACTCGCCTCAATCTGCTGAGGCGCATCGTATCATGCTGCATCGTTTCATTACCAGCGCCGGTGTCGTGCTGTGAGATCCGACAGGCTGCTGTGAGTGTAGGTATCGTTAACAAGGGAAAGGAAATTTCAAGCACGCTTCCTTCCCCCGAGTCAGTTTCCTACGCCATGTTGAGCCCGTCGACTTCCCTGGTGAAGAATAAAATGAAAAAAAAATCTTTCCGCCCAAAGCACGCCCACCCATTACGCTTCTTGTATGAAACTAATTCGATATCGATGCGCCTTTCCGGTTTGAAACTCCCAATATCCGCCAAGCCCACCATTCTTTCCGTTCGATTCGTCTAAATCATCATCGTAAGTTGCTGCTGTTGTCGCTGGTGGTTCCGCTCGGCGAGGATGCGTTTGATACGCCGGCGGCCGGTGTTGAAGAAATGGTACTGTGCGGGGTATTCCTGTTCGATGCTCTGGGGGTAGGTCCAATACACGAGTCCTGCGAGGACGAAGCTGAGCGCCTTCGTGATGGGCGTGGAGCGGGGTTTGTTTCTGGCAAAGTGACGCCATTCACATGCGAGAATGAGGTTGCCCAGCACGTTGAGCAGGCGGAAGAACATGTTGAGGACCACAAAGACCAGGGTAACGGTGACGCGCCTATCCTCGAGGCCCTTGAAATCCTCCTCGTTTAGGTTGATGAAGACGTAAAGAGGCATGCACCAGAGCCCGAGAATCGCGGCTTCGAGGATCAGAGATAGGTGATATGTGCGCTTGTGCTCTCCTCTCGTGATGAGGAGCGCCAAGCACCACCACAGTAGAATAAAGTTGACCTACGAGTGTTAGTGAGGGCGTTTCAAAATCTAGGTAGGCCATGACACTCACAATAGAGGGCGCTAGAACCAACACTTTGTCCTTGAAATATCTCCAGCAGAGAGCGCCGGCGACGACGCCAAGGCACAGCTGGATCCATCCCAATACAAAGTAAACCAAGAGCACGTTGTTGTAGTGCTCGTAGCAGCCCTTGTGGAACTCCGGCTGGTTCGGCGCGGAGGCATTAGTAACGGGATAACCGCACCATCGGCAGATCCACACGCTGGCGTAATTTCCCAGAGCAACCTTCTTTCCAACAGAAAGTTCGTTCTTTTGATAGGCGCAGTCAACACACTTGCTGGCAAGCGGATAGCGCGGGTGGTTGTAATCAGCCCATAGCAAACTGCCACGGGTGGGGTCGTACTTGAGACAGACGTAGCAGTGCGCAAGCAGAGCCAGGCGAAATTGCTCGCCGAAAAGGTCGCGGATAGTCTGTTTGGTGAGGAAGTTACGGTAAAAGCGACACGTGCGGCGCAGGTTTTCCAGTTCTCCGAACTCAAGGTGGTCGATGATGAGCAGCTGCAGCTCCGGGGGCAAGTCCATCAGACTGTTGCCCGTCTTGGGCCCGAGGATCCGTGAGCGCCGACGGGACAGCCGGGGGTCGAGGGAGGCCACTTTTTCAATGACTGAGTCGCGCCGGGAGCGGGACGTGCGGGGCCGGGCGCTCTGGGATCGGAGGGATACGGCATCCTTTTCTCTGGTGTGAAGTGATCGCGAAGATCGCTCAAGATCCAGCGGCAGGGGGGAGTTTAGTGGCGATGGGAGGTATTGGCCAGAGGGCGAGGGTCCTGCGGATAGGTTGAGAGGCTGAGGAACGGGTGAGTTCGGGTGGACTTGAGGCGCAAACGAGATGGCAGACGGGATGAATGAGGGCGAAGCTGGCGAGTGTACAATCGCTGGAGGCAGTGGTGACAGCGGCGACACGGGCTGCGACAGGTCTGCCGGTGCGTTGAGAGTCTGGATATGAGTATTGCTGTTGTTCAACGTCTGGGCATTTGACATGGCCGAGACGGTAGACCCGGCAGACTGAGGTGGATGCGAGTGATCAGATGCATCGTGGGTGGGGGCTTGGGCTGAGGGGCCCAGGGTAAGGGTAAGAGTTGGGAGCACATGCTGCGAGTGAGCTGCCGTGTGAGGTGGAGGTAGTGTTGGCTGGTGGTGCGGTGTGGTAGGTGTGAAAGGCGGCGGTGAAGCCAGCGGGACGGCCTCATGGTGGTTTTGAGAAGAAGCCGTCTGAACAGGAGGAGGAATCTGAGCCTCAAGATCGGGCTGCTGGCCGGTCGGTGCGTGGTGCGGTTCCTCGGCGCTGGTGGATGAAGCGGACAGAGATGGGGCCGACGAGGTGGGGGAGCTTTCAGATGATGATGGTTGTCCGTCACGGCGCACCTTGTTGCGCACGCCGCGGGCAGCGCGGTTGATGCCTCTGCCGAAAGAGCGGACTACCTCGAAGGCATCCATAGTGCGCCCGGCACGGGACTGCGAATGTCTGGATGGTTTGTTCACGGATGCCTGCTGCCGTGAACGGCACGGTTGGAAGGGCAGATCTGATCTGGCGCGGGCGGTTGGCGACCGGGGATTCCCTCGTCACGGACGGTTGAAACTTGCTGGAACCCGGCGTGCTGCAGAGAAGCCGATGTGAAACGGGCTTCCAATCCGCACCGGGAATCCTAGGCGACAGTTGGGGCGATGTCGACTGAGGTGTGAGGTTGACAAGAGTGTAGAATACTGAGGATGGGTATGCGCATGTGCCTGCTTATGCGTATGAGGAGGTGCGATGCCGTGTGTGTAAGGTGTATTGCGTTGTGTAAGGTGGGTTTGTCTCTTCTCTGCGTAGCGTCTTGTGTTGGCTTGTTGGTTGGTCTTAGCCCACGTCTGCAAAGGCAGCCTCGGTGGCTGTAAACCGGCAGGACATGATTCTGGTTCAAGAGAAAACGGGAGTGTAAGGCAAGGGAGGGGAAGGGTGGAAAAGGAGACGTAGTAATAAGGTAGGGAAGAAGACGGAGAAGCGCCCTTGCGGAGGAGACGGACGGCGGAGGAGACGGATGATCGGTGGTGATCGATGGTGATGTGGTAGCCCGCCCAGACCGATGACAGGGACCTTTTTGCTTTCTTCTTTCACAACAACTTGGTGTGCGCTGTGGTCAGGTCAGGTCAGGTCAGGTCAAGCAACCCGTGTGCCTACCGACAGGCCTCATTCGACGTAAAGCAGGGTTTCTGTCGATTGTCCCCTTGATTTTTTGGGGATTCCGTTCGCTTCGGTTCGGATGTATGTATGCCAGCAAAAGTCGATGGGGGGGGGACTGGGGAGTCGAGCGAGGGGCAGACCAGACCGCAAAAGCAGAGCAAGCACACAAACGCACACTCGCGTCCAGTCTTCTCGAAAGTGGTCTCACCTTTTTAGGGGCGGCCTGCAAGTTTGCAACGAACGGGCTGGAATGAGCAACCGCCACGCAGCGTTCGCAAGGGGGTTGGGACCGCCCAGTTGGTGGTAGTGCGTCTTGGTTGCCCGCGAGGGAGGAGAAGGGGAGCAGACCAGAGGAGAGGAGAGAGGGAGCCAGCGGTGTGACATGCACGATACCCGCCAATCGTATGACGACGCCGTGGCGGCTGAGGTACCACGTGGGTCGTTGTTCGCGGCTTCGAGGTGGGGTTGTGCCCGTGTGAGCTTCCCGTCCGGCGTCAGTGTGTTTGGGCGTCAACAAGCGTCAGGGTCGAGGGGACGCTTGTTGGCTGGTGTCTGCCTGGTTCCTGTTCCTGTTCCTGTTCCTGGAGCGAACGGAGGAGGTGGAGGAGTTGGAGTAAAATAATAACAAGGAGAGGGCAGAAGCTTTGGTAGATAAAAAGACCACACAGCCAAAATACCGCTTGCTTGATTCAAGCGTACCTTCAGTGTTGGTTCAGCAAGGTTCTCCCGTCAGGGTAAGTTGCGTGTGTGATAGTAGTGGAAGATGGTAGATGGATGCACACTGGTCATGTCAACCATCTCATGTCCACAGCAGGCATCCCTTTCAACCCAAGACCAAAGAAGACGAGACTGTTCTGGTCTTAAGAGTCCACGCAAGTAGAGGCAACGCCAAGCCAGGAGGCCTTCCTGCATGGTGCACCACTTTGAGGGTGCTCAGATCAGCCTCAGGCGGCATCAAAACGTGGCCAAGCATCTCCATGTCCATCTTTAGCAACTTTTGGCTACTTGTTGCTGGCCACTCGTCTGCTGCTGCATGTTTCGAAAAACTAGGGGTTCCGCTCTCCCTGGGTCCCCGTCACCCACCATCATCCATGTGGCCTGCTGGCACGCTGGACGATGCCTCCCAAAAGGCTTTGGACCGCCCGTCTAGCTAGGGCTGTTGCAGGCCATTGCAGACCATGGCAGAGTGCAGTGGTGGCTCGCATTGGCCAAGCCATCCCGGCTGTCGTCGAGGAACGTTTCAAGTGAGCTTGTCAACACCAGTGTCCAGCTTGCTGTGCAGCGAGTATGTAGTCGACCACCGAACGCGCAAGAAGCCATCCCCGCATTTCCGTCTGTCCTTTGCCTTCCATTCCCGCAAGCTTGTCAGCAGACAGCGAGGTCCACGGGTAGAAGCTCCCGGAAGAAGCGTACTGCCGCTGCTGCTGCTGCTGCTTGACCAGGACCAATGACACGGAGAGCGCGGCCTCCAGCACTCCGGATCGCGGAAGGGCTGGCTGTGCCTGGTGTGGACATGCTGTGGTAGCCATCAATCAAGCTTTGTGAGCCGACGCGGCGGCTGCGTATCACACGAGGTTGTCTGGGCAAAGAGGAGTTTGTATAGCTTGGCTAAATTGTGTTTCTGTTTCCAAAGTCGACTCAGCACGACGCGATGTAACCGGTGCATATGAGAGCTTCGCCAGAATGACTGTAAGTTGATGACTGATGAGATCACATGTTGGCCCGCGATGTGGGAGAGCCAGGGCAGAGGTCGACCAGCCAACCATTCGACAGGCAACGGCTGGTGAGGTGAGAGGTGAGGTGAGGGTTCCATCGTCGTCTTTGCTGCGGTCGGTCCGCGCCATCAGCTGACTCAATCTAGGTTGGGCAAAGTTTCCAACTCGATCGGCGGCGCGTGATGATGCGCATTCAAAGTCAAGCTAGGAAGAGGGGATGGGAATTGATTGACGGGAGGGGACACCAGAGGGGGAAAGAAATGGGGGGCGGCGATGCACTGCACTGGAGGAGGGGAAGATGTCACTTGGCACTTGGCCGCAGCTGCTGGACTTCCAGGAACAAGCACTTGGCACCTGCCGGGGCTGCCGATCCAGTGTTGCCCGTGACTGCCGAGCCCAGATTGGCTTGGGAGCCTTGGGAGCCTGGGGTTGCCGGCAAAAGTGTGGAGTCATCCGAACGGCCCGTGTGTTTAGGCACTTACATAAGACGACAGGAGATCAAGCCACATCATGTGATCCGCGCCACACCACTGGCCTCGTGCGGGACGCTTGCCTTGGTCTGCGTTTTGCGTCGACATCAAGGCCAGCCTCAGCAACATCACTGTCGAGATGGCAACGCTCACGTCCTCGACCCGAGGCGGGCTGCATATGGTTGCAGTCTGATGCAGACACCATTTACTCTACTCTCTGAGACTCTTTTCGCCGTCTCGCCCCAATGCAGCGGGCTGAGGCGAGGGCTGCTGCTGGCATCCGCCGCAGAGCCTCACCTTCAAGGTAGGTCAAGGTATGTGTCTCTCGACCGTTGTGTCCTCTCCTTGCTTCTGCTTGGCTTGTTCGAGCTGAACGAGCCCTTCTCCTGTTGTATGCTACGACTTCGTCAACACAGCGAGTTGCGGTTGGCAAAGCGGCGTCTTGGAGACACTGCAAGTGGCAGCCTCTTCCATGCGGCTCAGCACCATCACCCGCACTCTCATCAGCCTCCACGCCTCTGCCCGCAGTGTCCGGCTCGGCCATTGTGTTGGGTTGTGTGCAACGGACCGGGTTTACTTCGGGTGCCGTTGCATTCCGGCAATAACATTCTGTCAAGGAAGTCTGGGCACTTGCCGCTAGCGCCATAACATAGCCATCCACAGCTCAGCTCCCAGCAGCCAATCAGAGGACCGAAACACGAAGGCTCAGCAAACTCCCAAGCAAACTCTGCCCACCGTACCTTACACGGGGAGGAGCACCAGCCAGGCAGGCTTGGTTCAGCAAGGATGAACCAGCAGCAGCAGCAACAGACGAGAAGGCAGCGACACCACCTGTCGGACCGTGGCAGGAAGCACTGGCCTCGCCTCGCCTCGCTTTGCCTTGCCATGGACGTCTACAGAACCACAGAGAGAGATTAGCACCCGAAGCACGACTGGATTGCAGCAGGAGAAACCGACAAGAAAAAAAAAAAGGCACTCGGGCACCAACCACACCGACTCGAATTCGAACCTGAAGAAGGTGCCCTGCGATTTTCCTAGCACCACGACCGCACTGCACCCGCACCCGCAACGCACCCGCACCTCTGCACCGCACCGCAGCAGCACCCACCGAAAAGCTCCCTCCCACTCACCACTCACCACTCACCACTCGCCCTCCGCTCCCATTCGCCCCCCCTTGTCCTTCCAAGTCCTGCCGTCACCGACGAACAACAACAATCACGGTCAGCCTTCTGCTAAATTTCTGCCACCTCCATCCACCTCCACCAAAGCTTCCCTCGACAACCCCTCCATCTTCAACCACCACCCGAAACAGCTTCTTCGAGTAGAGCTCTTCTTTTCCAACATTGGTTTCGATTCGCGCATCCCCACTTCGGTCGAATCATCGATTTTATTCGCTTTTGAAAACCCTGTCGAATCTTTTCGCGCATCACTCGCATCACTATAAACAATGGCTGGCGGCAAGGGAAAGTCTGGCGGAAAGACGTCTGGAGGCAAGGCCACCGCCGAGGCCCCCAAGAAGCAGCAGAGCCACTCCGCCCGCGCTGGGCTTCAGGTAAGTTTTGCGACCTGATGATGATGCGCCGCCTTTGCACCTCGATTCTGGGCCCCGATATCGATCATCGACCGACCACTCCTCTCCGACGCGTCCCGACCTCAATCCACGACAACCGCCTCTTTTATTCGTTGCTCTCGATCATACGGGGGCCTCTGCCATCAACTTCTACTGCGCGCCGCCGACTTTTCGTCGTCCACGCGGAGGCGGCATGATGGATACGGGAGCTGGTCGCGTGCACGATGCTTCGGGAGCTCAGACTCGACGGCGCAAACCCGGATGGCGCATCTGGCCATCGTTCTGGCTGCGCAGCCTGCTGATCATAACGCAAAAAAAATTGCAGTTCCCCTGCGGTCGTGTCAAGCGTTTCTTGAAGGCCAACACGCAAAACAAGATGCGCGTTGGTGCCAAGGCAGCGGTCTACGTTACGGCCGTCCTCGAGTACCTGACTGCTGAAGTTCTCGAGCTTGCGGGCGTAAGTGCATCCTTCCCGACGCCCCGCGTTGACTCATCGCGGCGTCTGCCTAACGTGCAACCTAACACCGTGACAGAACGCCGCCAAGGACCTGAAGGTCAAGCGTATTACGCCCCGCCACCTTCAGCTCGCCATCCGCGGAGACGAGGAGCTCGACACCCTGATCCGCGCCACCATCGCTTTCGGTGGTGTTCTGCCACACATCAACCGCGCGCTTTTGCTCAAGGTTGAGCAGAAGAAGAAGGCCAAGGCCCTCGAGGCTTAAGAGATGGGAGACGAAGCACCAAGGCAAAGAGTTGTCATGACTCCCACCCTGCTCACTCCAATGTCTCTTGCAAACTGTTGATATTCCCGGTTGTCTTATGTTTTTCCTGGTAGTTTGGGGTGAGGTTGGTTTGAAGGGATGCTGTTTCTGGCTTTCCTTATCTTGGTCAGGGACGACACTGTTGGAGAAAAATGTGCTCTGAATAACGTCTCGCAAGACGAGGCACACGCGACACAGCGTCTCGTGCTGGTGTTTTTGCACTCGACGTATACTGGGCTACGATGCTTGACGGGGCCGTAGAGGAGCCGAGAGCGCCTCGTTCCCAAGGAATGAAGGGTACCTGCACACACACGCACACTCACCCGGGGCCCGCGCAGATGCGCCCCGAATCTGGCACTCACATGTACAACAATTCAAGGTTCCTGTTTCGGTTCCTAAGAAGGCACGCGGATATGGCACTGGCTGATGGGCTTAGGTAGACGAATAAAAAATTGTAATGGGGTGCACACTCATGATTGCAAACTCGGTGTGACTGCTGCTTGTCTACTGCGTCTCTCCTGACGATCATCCGCGAATATCCTCATACACCATGTCAGCGTCTTCGTCCTCGGAAGCCGCTCCGTACCCACTGTCGTCATCCCACCAGTCCTCCCACTCCTCTCTCACAGGCGCGTCTATGTATACGTCAAACCCCAACCCTGAGTTTTCGCCCCGATGAGCCCCAGCAAACCTGCTCTCCAGATAATCCGCTGCCGCGAAAACGCAATCCGCCTCGTCGACGCCCATTCTCAAGATCGACCTCGCGGCCTCCTCCATGGACGGTGAGTCCGGCGACAAAGCCAGCGGGCCGAGCGGCGAGACTTCACCACCTTCAACCACCGTGAATCGCTGCCGCATCTCCGACCTGAGGTGGTGGCATTCGGAGGGATAGTCGCAGTCGTCCCGACAGCTTCCCACGCGGTCGTATAGCCGCCTCTTGCGCTGCGCTTCCCGCTCGCCCCAAGACGGTTTTGTGTCTTGCCGCAAGGTGTCCTCTTCCTCTGCTGTGCGACGGAGTCGACGCCAGTCGCCCCACGCGGCCCAGCGCTCGTAGTCGAACTCCATGGCGCAGGGCCCGGCTCTGCTTCTGCGACGACTGCTGCTGCTGCTGCTGCTGGTGGTCGGGGGCGGAGGCGGGGTGGTGCACATTACGTGCCCGCAGTGGAGGCAGCGACGGGTGCAGGAGAGGCGGAAGGTTGCGTTGCAGATGTGGCAGCGCCAGATCCAGGCCTGGGGTGTCGGCGGCGGCGGCAACGGTGACGACGAGGAAGAGGGGGCGGTGTCGATGCTGTCTTGGGAGCTCGTTGGTGAAATGGCTGTTGAGTCTCGCTGAAGGATAGGCCTATCTGGAAGGGCTGTTCTTGCTTGCATATCGCTCCGCTCGATGGGGCGATGCTGGAGAAGTCGTGGTATCATCATGAGAGCCGGGAGATCTGGCTATTGGCAGAGCTTTGATTCAGCGAGGTGGTCGTTGGCAGTAGAATTTCGCTAGAAGAACCAAGCATCGATTATCAAGATGAAGGTGTTATTCACCCCCTCCCAAGCTTGACAGGTGAATGAGTCCTCCCAAATGGGATGAGTGCCATGCACATCCAGTGACTGTCGAAAAAACCGAACGATCAAACCAACCCCGCATGTTGTCGTCTTCCAGAGTCCATGACAGGATGAGAAAGACCAAACATGTATTTAACCCAACGAGTTCTCACATCTCATCCTCACCCGATCAGAACACAGCATGGATTTCTTCCGACCTAGGCTCCGACACGTTGGTTCATCAAAGACATCCCTCACCGCCGAGGTGGTGCGAAACGTGCCCGCTTCAAAGACAGAATCTTTGCGTGGTTGAACATTGATAGGTTTGGGGGCCGAGAAGGTCCACGTCTAACAAAAGGCCGTGAGGTCCAAGTACGGCGGCCGAATACTCGGACCAGTCAGCCACCAGTCATGAGTGAGACAGCTTCGTTTCCAGAAAAGCAGCATACACATTCATTCATTCACTCACTTATGACTAGGACCTCAGATATGAAATCAAACGCAGTATATTTGACAACGCGCAAAACGGCACAGCGGCCCAGTGTGTGCGGCTCTCCATACAATCATCCTCTGTCATCGTATTATCTCTCTCTCGCTCTCTGTGCCAATGCACGTTACAAAACAGGTCTGGCCGTCCTCGCATTTCTGCCATCTCTCATCTCGTCTCTCCCATTTGTCTTCCGAAGACATCCACAAATGATCATTCGCTGATCTCGTCCTGTCATCCAACCTCGATGCTCGCAAATGCATATCAAAAAGATCCGACGGAAATAACAAAAAGCAGCAAACTCTAACAAGGTCCCTGTAAAGACCAGAGGAAATAGAACACGACCGAGCAGCCCCAATGCAGCCTCAACGCCAATTTCCCAATCAAAGTTCCTCTTAGAGTGCCATCCCATAAGAGCCAGGCTCAGGCTGGGAGGCTCAGTCAAGTCTGAGAGAAGATCGATGGGGAAAAAATGGGAAAAAATGGGACCCGAAATTGAAAACAGTAAAATGCCAAATATGAGAAGAAACAACGCCCAGAATCAGATCAAACTTTTTTTCTTTTCTTCAATGACCCGCTCCTGGGTTTTTGGTACTTTGGGTAGAGGCTCAATCGAAAAACTTGGCCGTGAGATGAGCCCGTGAGAGGCTTGAAACATCCATCCTCAGTCGTCAATGGTGTGTGTGAAAATGATGCCGGACCGCGATATTAGGTGGGTATAGTCATGGTCGCCGAAGCATGGTCTCGTCATCCAAAAAACGGCTTTTGTCGAGCATGCTGGTACAGCTATCTAGACATAAAAAGGTCGTAACAGCGTATTCATCGTCAAAGGTGGTTCATATGCTTCCGCGCGCCATGAAAGGAGGTATGGCGGGGAAACAGGGAGAGGGGTATAGGGGACCGCCATGGGCGCCGTGCCATGTCGAAATGGTTGCCCATATCAAGTGTTTTTTTCTTGTATCCAGGTTTCTTTTCCGTTCATCCTTCTCTGGTCGTGAAAACAGCGATGAGCCGAGGTTTCCGTTGCCGGGCGGGTGACGTGAATCCAACGAAGGATGCCGCCGCGACGTAGGAATCTTCTATCCACCAAATCCGAGACGGCCGAGCGAAACATCATGACGCTGCCAAAGGCTCGTGTCCAACAAATCATCATTATAAGCAGTATGGGTGGGAGAGTGTCCATAATGAAAGACAAATGGCATGAATAACACAGGGTTGCCGATAACCGAGCTGTGGGGGGGCTGGGTGAACTCGTCGAATGTCGTTTGTAGTGGTCTATACGTCGCGAGTCATGAATCGTGTCCTCATTGTAGTGGTTGTCGTGGCAGTCTCGGCGAGGAAATTAGGGTTCTTGTCTAGTGGAATCGAGACGCGCTGCCAGCACGGGGAGCGTTGTCGGAGGAGTCTGTTGCTGTTTAGCCTCGAGCTCGTGTCAAGCATCACGGGCAGAAAAACTCACCGCTACCACGCTGCATGTGGCCGTTGGAGCGGTTGCGTCCGTTGAACCCGGCGGAGGGCTCCCACTCGGGGCCCCGGGGCTGTCTGTCGGGAGCGTTGCGGCTCGAGCCGTTGGCGCCAGGACGCTGGCTGCCGATAGCACCGGGCGTGCTGCGCGCCTGCGTGTGAGCTGATGCGTCATAGGATCCCAGGTTCAAGCCACCGAGGGAGCTGAGCAGGCTGCTGTCGGTTCCAGGGGTGCCGACTGTGCCGGAAGTAGGGGTGAGGTTGGGGGTCGCGAGAGCGCCGGTCTGGTTGACACCGCCGTTGTAGTCGCCGAAGCGAGCACCCGGGTTGCCAGACTGGGGGATGTTGCCGATGCCGTTCATGGCCGTCAGGTAGCTCGAGGAAGACGCAGACGGGCTAGGGCTGAATGATCGCAGGTCGGCGAAGCTCTTGGCGGCACGCAGGTTGGCCAGGCCGCTGCCATCGGGGCTGCCGGGAAGCTCAAGGGTCGGGCCCTGACGGCCGATGGCATGGGAGTAGTTGGTGCTTGCGCTGCGAGCCTCCCGATCAGCGGCGAAATCAAACGTGGCAGCTCTGCTCAGGCCCTTCTTGTGGTAATCCAATCCAACGGCAGGCAGGTGGTTCTGGGTTGTGGGTGACGGCTGAGGACGCTTGAGAATGTGGATCTGTCGCGAATCGGCCTCTCCGATGGAGTTGTGCTCGAGTCCCATGTTGTGAGCCAAGATGTGAATCTGGCGACGCTGCTCAGGGGAGACGGAAGCAGGGAAGATGAGGATCTCCCGGCTGCTGTCACGCTTGAACAGAGTGAGCTCGGTGTAGAACTCGAGCGTCTCAGGGTCGTTCAGGTTCACGTCTCCTGTCGCAACATTAGCGTGCGACACCGTATGGCTCGTGAGAGGCGACGTACCGAGCGCACTGCGGTTGCTGTTGCTGGACATGCTGTTCAACGTCTGGAGAGAAGGCTGCTGGTGCAGCATGGGGGCGCGGTGCTGCTCCTCGAGCTGACCGCGTCGCTCCCTCTTTTCACGCTCGATGCGCTCGCGCTCGGCCTCGGGCAGCATCTTCTTGTACTCGACCCTGAGCTTCCGGCCGTGCACCTCCATGCCGTTCATGGCCTCAATCACAATTTTAGTATCCTCGGGCGACTGGAAGTTGGCGAAGGCCAAGCCACGGAAGACGCCATTGTCGAAGTGGTAGTTGAAGGCATAGGGTTGGGGAAGATGCATGTCCATCATGACGGCAGCGAGAGTCTCCTTGCGAACGGCGAAAGGGATGTTCTTGATTACAATCGCGGTGGGAATGAGCTGCTCCTCGGTCTGCGAGCTGGGTCGCATATCGGCGTGGCCGTCGTAACGCAGGCCGTTGGACATACCGCCGTTGAGGCTGGAGCCGTACGAGTTCTGCATACCAAGGCCCTGATCGGTCCAATTCTACGAAATGTCAGATTACGTCGGGACGCATAGAGCGGCCGTGGTTGATGAAACTTACCGTAGGGAGAGCGGCACGGCGGTTTACGCTCCTCTGCCTGTTGGCACCGTTGATGGCACCGTTGACAGTCGCGACACCGCCGGCGTTGTAACTCCAGGCCGCCTGGTTGTTGTCCAGCATGTATCCTCCCGGCATTCCGTTGGCAGACATCTGATCCATCGCTCTGGGGTTGTAACCGAGACGGTCGGAGGGGAAGAGGGCGGAAGAGCCCAGGCCGTTGTCGAAGGGGCGCTGTGCCTGGCGGGGCAGGGACAAGCCGGACTGGAAGCTGCCGCCGTAGCCCCTCGATGAGCTCGGGGAGCGATTGGCGGGGGTTGAGTAGTCGAGATACATGTCGTGTTGCTGGCTCATTGTTGTCGTGATGGAGCTCTAGTCCCCGTGGTTGGCAGTTACTGGGGTGAGATCCAGCAACCGGCTCGTACCGTTGGGAGTGGAAAGGGAGAAAATTGCACAGAAGTGGAGGGAGGGCGCAGGAGGGCTAGGGGCGGCAGCAGATGCAGAGCCCGCAAGCGAGAAAAGTGACGTGGAGGGGACGAGGTATGGTGGTGGTCGTCCTCCTGGTCTCCTTTTTCTTTCCCTTTCCTTGGTTCGTCTGGTGATGCAGCAGGTTGGGGATCACCGGATAGACGCCGTTTGATGCAACAAGAGGGAGAGAGGGAGGAAAAAATGGCCTCCAAGTCGCAACAAGGTTCTTCAGGGCGGCGGCGGCGGCCGTTCGTTTTCGATCCGTTCGGGTCGCTCTTGTTCGTGGGTAAAAAAGGGCCCCCCAAGAGTTGGGTCTCAAATAATGGGAAGATGCAAGTAGCCGACAGTCGCACGCTGTGACGGGACAGAACTGGACCAGAACAAAATGCCGTGGCGGATGTTATGTAGGGGCGTGGGCGACGGAAGTAAAGGCGCACACACACACAGGAGGGCGTGGGAGGGATTTGGAAGTGTGGTATGTGGCGGGCTGGGCTGCTACTGCTGCGGGACGGGCGCAGTCGGGCTGGTGCTTTTTTTTTCTTGGTCCCTCTTCTCGCTCGCTCGTTTCTCCGCCGAAGACGCAGCGCAGGTTTTTTGTGTTTGGCAGTCAGTGCCGGTTGCCAGTGCCAGCAGGTGAGAGACTAGTCGCAATAGCAAAGTCGCAGTCGCAGACACGCGATCCAAGGGTGGTGCACCTTTTCGGATGGGGGGGAAGAGGATGTTTTGTAGGCGTGATGATTAGGACAGGCAGTGATGACGCCCGTTGTTGAGGCTGAAAATGCTCAATAAGATGTCGAGGATGAGAGGAGGGAGGGGAGGGAGGTTAATGAGGGAAAGGGAAAGGGCAGCAGGAGAGGGAAAAATTGTTGCAGCAAAAAAAAAGAAGCCGGAGTGAGGAGGCTAAAAAGGGGAGCTTTTTTTTTTATTTTATTTTTTTTAAACGGCAGTACTATGGTTCCCTCACCCACGACGATGGAAC